CAAGCGGTAGAGCACTCGCCTTGAGCTGAAGAGTGTAGGGACAGCGCCCAAGCCCAGAGTTCAAGCCCCACGACTGACCAAAAAAAAAAAAAAAAAGAGATAAAGTGAGAAATTAGGCTGGGAGAATTACTTAGAGTTACTGGTAGAGCGCTTGCTTAGATGTGTGAAGCCCTGGGATGGATTTTTTCCATCCATTGCTAGCATGCCAAGAGAAGTGCTGCGCATGAAGGCACACCCTGTAATCCTATGGGAGTCAGGTAGTAGTGCTGAGCCAGGTAGATCTTGCATTCAAAATAAGTAAGTAGATAAATACTTCTCTAATATCCTTAAATGAGTGTATAAATAAATGTAGGCATCTGTGCAAACATCTGTGAACGTATTTGTCAGGTTACCACTGTATACCTGAACTTTATTATTTTGTCTATTTTTGCCCAGTTCTTTTTTGTTTTTGTTTTTGTTCTGCCAGACCTGGGGTTTGAACTCAATGACTGGGCACTCCCTGAGCTTCTTTTATACTCAAGGCTAGCACTCTACCACTTGAGCCACAGCACTGCTTCTGTCTTTTTCTGTTTATGTGGTGCTGAGGAATTGAACCCAGGGCTTCATGCATGCAAGGCAAGCACTCTACCACTAAGCCACATTCCCATCCCTTTTGCCCAATTCTTACTCACCTATTATTATATCTGCCACAGCAGGTTTTTCCATGGGGTAAATTTATTACTCCCATGCCAATTGAACTTTGGATTACTAAGAGAGATCAGAAAGCCAGCAGACCTTGGTTTTGACTTTTTATCGCCATGACAAAGATGAATCTTTTTTTTTTCCCCCTTTCAGGTGAGCACGTGTGCTTATATCACTCAGAAGGTAGAATTTGCTGGTATCAGGTAGGTATATCATTTTGGACATATCAGGTGTTAAGTAGAAGTGGGATTTAATGCAGGAATTAGGCTTGAGGCATATGGATAGCCATGTAATAAGATCTACAAAAATTATTAAAGACTGGAATACTAAAGCACAGTGAAATAACAAATGTGATATTAGTTTTATTTTAATTTTTTAGTTTTTTGGGTGCTGGATCTTGTTCCTGAGCTTCTTTTGCTCAAAGCTAGCACTCTACCACTTGAGCCACAGCTCCACTTCCAGCCTTTGTGGTGGCTAATTGGAGATAGAGTCTCATGACCTTTCCTGTCTGGGCTTGCTTTGAACCATAATCCTCAAATTTCAGTCACTTGAGTAACTAGGATTACAGGCATGAGCCACCATTACCCAGCGGAGTAGTTTTATTTTTTATTATTTTATTTTATTTTTTGCCAGTCCTGGGGCTTAAACTCTGGGCCTAGGCACTGTCTCTGAGCTTCTTTTGCTCAAGGCTAGCACTTTCCCACTTGAGCCACAGCGCCACTTCCAGCTTTTTCTGCTTATGAGGTACTGAGGGCTTTATGTGGTACCCAGGACTTATGCATGCAAGGCAAGCACTCTACTACTAGACCACATTCCCAGCCTTATGGAGTAGTTTTAATATTAATGGAAGAAGTTGCTGAAGCCACCCTGCTACTGAGCTATATTCCTAGCCCTGATATCCTTTTTGAATTCAAAGAGTATAGCATGAATGTAGTGAAGCCTTCAAATGGTACAAAAACATGCATAATATAATAAAATCCTGTGCAGTTGGAATTTGAGTCTTTCCTGAAATTCATTGTTGTATGCACAGGTGTATTTGTATCTCATGAACTCACTTTTAGTGATGCTGAGTGTTGGGTATAAATGATGTGATCCCCTATTTATAATGCTTCCCATCAACTTTGTACTGACTGACTTCATTCATTTGTGATTGTTGCCAAATGGTGATTTTCTAATTTAGTTATTCCTTCCATATTTGCTAACTAGAATCCTTTTGTAAGGAACTGTTTGTCATCAACCAGTGATTTTTTTTTTTTTGGGTCCGGTTGTGGGGCCTGAACTCTGGGCCTGGGCGCTGTACCTCAGCTCTTTAGCTCAAGGCTAGTGCTCTACAACTTGAGCCACAGCGCCACTTCCGGCTTTTTTCTTTTTGCTTATGTGGCGTTGAGGAATTGAACCCAAGGCCTCATGTATGCAAGGCAAGCGCTTTACCACTGAGCCACCTTCACAGCCCCAACCAGTAATATTAATTCACCTAAAATACTGATCCTAAAAGAAAGAGTGCTGGACACATGGCCCAAGTGGTAGAGAATTTACCTAGCATATATGAGACCCTGGCTTCAATCCATAGTGGAAAACATATAAAGATAACTTTATAACTTTTTCTTTATATTATATAGGTCTTTTGCTTTTTACTAAAAGAAAAGGTAAAGGATTTTTTGTTTCCCCAAGTTTTTTTTTTTCTTGTCGGTTGTG